CGTTTGCGCTCTGTGATGGGTCTGGCCAGGTAGGGCATGATTTCTGTGTCGCCAGGGGTAATTCTCACCCTCTTTCTACCCGCCTTCCTCCAGATCAAGCTGTGTGAAACGTGCCAGAACGCAGAGCATAGCAAGAACCTCACCAAAAAAATCCGGCCAATCAAAGTGGAATTGCCTTGGGAAATTGTAGGACTGGATATCTATGGTATGTGCCCAAACTATTCCAATCTGGGGGGCTTTTTAAACAAATTCTAGTTTTTATTTGGCAACCTGATATCCTGCTCCACCGGTCATTTTGTCTCCTTGCTACTGAGGCCCTTTTGTTTGGCCACTAACCTGTTTTCTCCTTTCTCCAGAGTAGCTGCCCTGTCTTTATCCTGCCCACCTTCACCTTAATCTCGGTGAGGCCACTGACTGTCTGTTTTGGATTTGATGTTCTATAGGACCTTTCCCTGAATCCAGACAAGGCCACACTCACATTCTCGCCGTGATGGATTATTATACAAAGTGGGTGGAGGCGCTCCCTCTGCCGAAGAGAGATGCTTTTTCTGTGGCCAAAGGCTTGGCTTCCTTGTTTTACAGGTGTGCTGGTCTCTTCTGCTATTAGTATGATTTAAGGTGATATCTGAGCATATGGCAGAGCCCTAAAACTAGCAGTTTATCTGTAGCTGCCACAGGGAAGGACAAGCAAAAAGCAGATTTGAATGCCACGTCGCCCCACCAGAGACACGTGTGCTGGATCAGGCCAGTGGCATTCAACTTCCCTAGCCAGAAAAGGAAGTTGAAATCCATGTGCTTCTCAAGTTCCTTTGCCCCCAAGAAACTCAGTGACCAAATTCGAAAATCAAGTTTTGTTTCGTTTTAGGAACATCTAGCAAACAAAGCGAAAAGGCCACCAGGAGCATAGAGCCCAAATCACTGCTCAGTGTTAGAATTCAGTTTAAACCATCCTTAGCTACCTGGCCTTTGCTCAGTTTCTCCAGTGAAGGCAGGCAAAGACCCCTCCTGAAAATCTTATACCCATTTCTATACTGCAGATTAGTTTTGAAAGGTTTATATAGAATTGTACTGCTAGTTGTGAAGTTCCCTCTCTCTCTGCAGTAATGGGATTGAAACTTGGCAGGAGTGAAGATTTGCGGCTAGATATGTGAATGCTTGAAACCCCTGGAGAGCTGTCACCCTTATTAAACTTATTTAGATTGACATATAGTCAGCTCTTCGAACGAGGAGGTTCTTCCAAAAATGTAATAAAGGATAAAGATTACACTTTCATTTTACGGGCCTCTTCTATGCCCAGGGGCATCTGTGGGGAGGGGGGGTCAAAAAAGTCAAGATGGTGGCCACCGCCATTATCTTGACATTTCCAATGCAGGTGCCCCGGTCCATGCTTTTCTTGGGTACACCAGGTAATCTCACCACACCAATCTGCTTGTGAATATATCTCTTGTCATTTCTTAAAACAGGTTTGGCGCCTCCAGGAACATCATCTGCAATCTGAGCTGGGACTTCTGTGAAGAGGTGAGTCAGGATTTTAATTCGCTAGAGCAGTGTTTCTCAACCTCAGCAACTTTAAGGTGTGTGGACTTCAACTCCCAGGATTCCCCAACCAGCCCTGATGTCTGGGGAATTGGCACCATTTGACTTGTCCCACATGGAAGGACCCAAAGAGCCCAAAGTCTGATGTAGTTTTGCCTTCTCGCCCACAGGTGGTCAAACTCTTATTAGAGAGGTGGAACATTTCGCAAAGCCTCACCCCGGCCACCTGTGCTGACCTGGACAGCCGAACCAGTGACCTTCTGAAGTCCTCCATCCACCACATCATCAACGAGAAGCCGAACGAATGGGACGACGCTCTCGACCCGGTTCTGTTCGACATCCGCACGTCCGTCAGCTCTGTGACCAAATACCCTCCTTTTTTCCTCCTGTATAACAGATACGTCTGCCTGTCCTCTGAGGTAGCGCTCTTTGAGAACACGTTCAGGAGGTTATCTGGCCGAAAGGTGGTGTGTGGGTTCATCCAGAGTCCCTCTGCTTCCTCCAGTGGGCCGAGCGAATGCTTGGGGATCAAAGCAAACTTTTCTCAGAGGGGCTCTGCGAATACAAATTCGGCCTTTGCTGTTGCTGACTTGGCAGCTCCAGTCATCTGCACTGAATGCTGAGTTGATGTCTTGCCAATTTGAGGCTGGCCATAAAAAAGAGGGAACCCACAATAATTCAGCAATGCAAATGTTTTGGCCTGGCACCCAGCTTGACCACCATCTAATTGAAGAGGGACAGATATACCTAACCTACCTTTCTGGGTTAAAGCAGGAGTTTTCAAATTGTGGATGGGGTTCCCCTCAGAGGGGTTGCCAGCAACTGGGAGGATCACAAAGGGGGGGGGGGGGACAATCAGGCTTGTGCGTGCAAAGGGAGAGCATGCTCAGAGCTTCCTCTGCTGTGCTCCTAACTTTGCCCTGGCATGTTGCAAAGTAAGATGTCCTTCTGAAGACCGGTATACTGTCTGTCTTTCGTCTGCCACCCTAATTCCAATGAAAGCATTCATTTCCTTCAGGGGAGAATGAGGCACCTTTATCCTGGTAGGGGCTCGGGGTGCCACAGAGCGTGAGAACGGCTGTTGTGCTAATGACTTGCTGGGGTTCTGTTTGTTTATTTATTTAAGCAATTTACATGGCCGCCCAACTCACGGTGACTCCGGGCGGCTTACAGGAATAAAAACCCCAAATACAAAACCCACTCCACCCCCACCCCCCCTCCTAGTGACAGCAATACATTTACACTAGCCGTTTGATGGGCTCTGGGTCGACCTGGGATCCCCAGGCCCGCTGGCTAAACTATGTCTTCGGGGCCTTGTAGAAGAGCATCAAGGTGGGGGCCCGTTTAACTCTGTTCCTCTCTCCTAGGCTGAATATAGGAAGGAACAGGAGTCCAGGGTTTTTAAAAGCAGCAGCCTCCCACCTTTTACAGCGGCCGCACGGGAACAACAGAACGCCGTGAAAGAAATTGTAAGTCAGCTTTTGGATCCTTATCCCGCGGATAACATCCTTCCTTGTAGGAATGTCAGAGGAAGTCCAGTGTGTTCTCGCCTTCGGTCCCGGCTTACGGCTCTCGCAAAGCAGACCCCTTTTCCCCTTTGTCCTTTGCAGGTTATCGCCAACATGACGGCAACCTACAAAGGGGAGCAGAAGAGCATCAAGAGAAAAGCAAAAGGCCTTTCCTCTCTCGCGTACAAAATGGAGGGCGGCCTTTTGGGGAGGAGCAGGGAGCCGTCCCTGAAAAAAATGAAGAGGAGCCAGTTCGTCTCATTCCAGATTGAGACAGTCTTGGCCCCAGAGCAGAGTTTATCGAGTGTGAAGAAGACTGGATGATGGATACAGCTTGGATCTGTTGTGGGCCTTCGCTCTTGTTCTGTACATATGTATGCCTCGCTATCAAGACCGACAGAGATATCGATATGTTCCAGATGGGAGCAATATGGTTTAATGGAAGTTCTACCCTTTGTGGAAGAGCCCTGCATAAAGGCTACAAAAGCTTTGGGTGGGGTGGGGGGGTTCTTATTTATTTCAGTTTACAGGAGCAGGGTAATGTCAGAGCATTGGGTTTTGACCAAAGAAAACTCACTTCAAAACCCCACATCCCTCGCAAGCACACCGCACGGCATGTCTCGAGACCTCAGCCCCAGCATTCCCATCTGTAAAATGGGCTTGTTATTTTCACTGTAACCAACCCCCCCCCCAATGCCTGCTGAGCCGTATACAGGTATAGAAGTCAGGTAAAGGATTTCTTGAAAAGGAAAGAAAGGGTGGGGAAAAGTGTGTCTAGATTTCTTGGAAGAAATTTCTAGAAGTAAGGGGAGCAGCTTATATGGAAGGGGAGAGGTGCCTTTACAATTGCCAGCGCAGGGAGAGCATTTGTGGTTTGAGGTACGGGCTTTTTGCAAGCTGTGTGGACTGTATTAACGGGGGAGGAGCAATGGGTAGCCAAAAGCAATTTCAGAAGAGACGATCCCCTTGTCCGGCTGATCACAAAGACGCTTGTATGTTTGTCTTACCCCAAGAGGAACTGGGGGCAAACTACAATGCCGACCCAGCGGTATTCTAAGCACAGAGTCCGGGCACTGGGTGGTGTGGGTGGGTGTGCAAAAGAGGCAGATTGAGCTGAACAGGGGTTGTGCCCAACCTGCCTCTGTGAATATGTAAATAATCATGTAATAAAAACTTTTAGGCTCATGCACTGAAGCGGCGTGCCTGTCCGTGTGTCAGTTCCAGCTTCCAAGCTCAAAGTGTTCCAAGAACGGTTTGAAGCAGCCGAAATGGCTTCATAATGAGGGCTGTTAGATCCAGCCTGCAAAAATCCAGGGCCTGGGGCCCCGAATGTGCAAAGGGTCCCGTCTCCTGGTTGTGTGAACCACCACTGATTGTGACATCGTCCTCGGCTGCTGCGTATTTTAACTTTTGTATTTATGATGGAAATCTTATTTATTTTAAGATGGGTCGCCGCCCAGTGTCACTTGCAGAGAAGGGAGGCTGTACAAACGATGAATGAGGGAACAAACAAGCCAGCTTTTTCCCTGTCCCCTTCCTACCATCTAGCGTCCCTCTGGATTTGGGCAGGGCAAACCAAGGGACCCTGCTTCCCACAGCTGATGGAACTCACTGCTACCAGACGGGTTGACCGTGGGGGACGCAAGGACCTCGAGGTGATGCTCTGGGGGCTGAAGAGGACGGCAGCTGGAGGCTCACCTTTGCAGTGCGGAGGAGGCCCTTGCAGGAAGCAGCTGCCCAGCCAGTCCTGGAAGCTTTTTGCTTTTTCACGCTGGGATGATTCAGCCTCTTTGTGTGTGGGTGTGTGGCTTTTATTCCCCCTCCAGCTCGTGCCTTTGGCAACCGCACCAAAGGGAGATGCAGGACCAGCATCCTCCCAGCTGCATAGGTAGGCGTGGGGCGGGGCCGGGCGAGGAGGCGGGGCCACGGAGGCCCCCGCCCACTCCCGACCTGGTCCTGGGAGCCGCTCAGCCTCCGCCGGCTCCGAGCTGCCCGGGTGATGCGAAGGATGTTCGCGCGTCCCGCGCTCGCCTGCAGGTAAGGTGGTCGCGGCGCGCCTTGCCTTGCCTTGCCTGCGCACGTGCGCCCAGGGACCCGCGCGCCTTCCCCGGCAGGATGCGGAGCCGCGGCTCAGGCTCTCCAGCGACGCCTCTTGGACCCCTCCCTGGGGACAGCGGGCGTCCCTCTTCTCCGCACCACACCCGTGTTTTCACTTCCTTGGCTGTCCTGGCGCGGATGCCGGGCAGGGCTCCCCACGCCGTGCGGCCAGGTCCTCGCTGCAGGGGCAGACGGCGTCCGCGGGAGGAGAAGTTCGGACCCGGCGGCTGCCTGAGCCGGGATCTGCCCCCTTCCCCGCTGGACGTTGGCCCGCCAGGCCAGTCCTCTGCTGCCCCCAGGCTGTGGCTGCAGAGATCGGTCCTGACGGAAACTCAGTCGGGGGTCGTGGGCACGAAACGGGCCTACCTTGCAGGGTTCTCGGGGGGGTTTAAAAAAGGATTTGTGACGCTTCGCACCGCCCACCCCACCCCGTCCAGTGAGTCCTCTGAGGATCCCTCCAGGCGTGTTCCCCTGAATTCTGCAAAGGAGACAACCAGGACAATCAGCCCTGGATCCCGGGCGTGGGCACGGGTCTCCCTTCACCGCCTGGCTCAATGACAGTCCATCTCTGGGGATGGGAAAGGTGGCTTTTAGGGGGCAAGGACCGGTTCTCTTCTGTCCTTTTTCCAAAGGACTGAGTCACACAGGGAAGTAAGTGGAAATCGGGGTAACCTCCTTTGCGGCCAGATTTGTCACAATTTTGCTCTGGTTTTCGTCAGATGCAGCCGATTGCTCTGGCTGAGTCAGCCTCTTTCCACCCGCCCGGCCCAGTTTTGAATCGACCGGGAAGTGTTTTTTGGCATCTGAGCAGCCCGATTGCTTTATCCGGAGTGTAGGAGCTGCTTTGCCTGCTTGATAAAGTATCCCTCCCACCCATCAAAGTCAATCTTCACCTTTCATTTAAGGGCAGATAGTCATCTTTACCGCAGATCTCTCTTTTCCAACTGTGCGGTGATGTAATAAAAACAAGAGGGTGCTTAATTTCTGGCGGGGAACACAGTAGGTAAAAGCAAGGCAACAGTTTTGCCGGTGCGCAAAATAAGAATGTAAATAAGATTTCATTGTGCTGGCTAAAAATTAATTTTTGTACTTTTTCCCTCCCCTTTAAATGACTTGGCAGATTCTGGCAGCGTTCAGTGTTTATGATGCCATTAAGCAAGCTTAATTGGGTTGAACTGAAGGTTGCCCAAATTATGTTCTCCTTCGGGTGAGCCCCCCCCGCCTTTTTTCCATTCAGGATTTTGGAGCCTGTAAACCCCGAATCTTTTGCAGGCACAGAAGTTGTAGCAGTGATCAAAGTTGAGCGGTTGCTTTTCCTGCAGATGTTAGGGCGGGGAAAAAGAAAAAAAAAAGACAGGTCAGCAACTGTATAGGATGTTAAAAAAAGAATTTATCTTGGTCGGGGTCTAAGTATCTTCTAGCGTCCATTTGGAACATCTCAGCTCAGTTCTGGTTTGTAGGATATACTAATAAAAATCTGAGCATATCGAAAGATGTTCCCTGATCAGGGAGTTCCTCGGCTAGCGCCCAATTATCTGGATTGAGTACAGAGTACAAAATATCAGCATTTTATTGGTGGATTGCGCTTTTTAAAAACGGTTAGCTCGCCTTGCAGGGAGTCCTTACAAAGCTCCACGCTGCTAGCTAATCGTTATTAGAAGGAGCCTTCGGTGTGGGAAGACTGTAGCCCAAAGGCCGCAAAAGATGCAGGCGAGCCACACAGGGAGGTTGAAAAAGCCCTTCTCTGGGCCTGCGTGCTTTAAAATCCACGTATTTATAGCATCCGTGAAAGCCATTTTCTCTCCCTTCTCTCTTCCGTTTCCAAAGCTATTGCTTAACCAGGAAGATTAAAACCAAGAAAGGTTTTTTTGTTTTGGTCCAATCCTCCCTGCTTTTCCCGTGCCTTCCAGATGTGGTGGGCTTCAGGGCCCATCATCCTTAGCCTGCCTGGCCATCACGGATGGGGCCTGGAGTCCTTGCGAGAGTTCTGAGCCTCCCTGCTTGGCGGGACGCGGTTCTGCGGATCGCAGCCTCACCCGGCACCTTTCCTGAAGGCTTCAGATTAAGTAGATGGGAATATACGGGTTCCTGTTTGTAGAGGTGCGGTTTGGATTTGGCGAAAAGTGGAAAAAAAGGACCGGCCAGGAAGGACCCACTTTCCCTGTTTCCATGGCAACGGCCAAGCGGCCTAGTGGTCCTCAGTTACGGTGACCCAACGTCCTTTATGATCAAGTACAGTGCTTTATTTCAGAAAGCTGTCCTTTAGATTTATTTATTTTTCAAAAACTCACCCTTGTTCTTTATTTTGGTGATTTCGCTTCTCCCGTACAAACGGTACCACTGAATGCGCAGTCGTGTGAAAAATATGGAAACCGAATGGTCTTTTTTAAGCAAACGTATTATGTATACTGTTTGATTGTAGATATTTTTACGAGATGATGCCTTTTTGTCAAGGTTTCCTCGGTTTTGCTCTTGAATTTTCCTTTTCCAAAGGTATAAACCTAAACAATTAACATTTTTTTATCCTGACGAACCTCTTTCAGATTGGCCCCCTTTTCAGGTTTGTCCTTTATTTTTTCCAAGAAAATAGGGTCACCGTATCATCGGTCCACCGGCTTGATGCCTTAAAATTCTCATCCTTACTTATCAATGTTGGAAGTCCAGAATCCTCCTTAGATGCTTCTTTAAAATTGAAAGCAACTGACAGTTGAGGAACACTCCTCATTTTGAACCATTGGCTTGCTCGTAACACTAATCCAGTTGGTTGTTCTGCCTACTGTTTTGCACAGCCGTGTAGCCTAATGTGCAAACCAGCTTGTTACGGCTTATTCCAAAAAACATGGATATCAAATAAAATCTTTGTTACAGTCATAGACCAGCATGAGAGGGTGGGATGCAGGCATGAAAAAGAAGCATAAAGGATCTAGAGCAGTGTTTCTCAACCTTGGCAGCTTTACGATGTGTGGACTACAACTCCCAGAATTCCCTAGCCACCATGGGTGGACTTCAACTCCCAGAATTCCCCAGCCAGCATGCTGGCTAGGGAATTCTGGGAGT